TGTGTGGTGAGTCGAGTCCTACTCATTGTGACCCCATGGACTGCAGCCCACCAAGCCACTCTGTCCAGGGGATTCTCCAGGCAAGGATACTGGAGTGGGTTGCCATTTTCTTTTCCAGGGGGCCTGCGACCCAGGGATCAAACCCAGATCTCCCTCAGTGCAGGCGGATTCTTTACCACTGAGCCACTACCTGTGCTGTGCTTAGTCACTCCATCGTGTCTGATTCTTTGTGACCCCATGGACTGTGGCCCGCCAGGTTCCTCAGTCCGTGGGGATTCTCCAGGCAAGAATACTGGAGTGCGTAGCCTATCCCTTCTTCAGGGGACCTTTCCAAACCAGGAACTGAACCAGAGACGCCTGCATTGCAGGCAGTTTCTTTACCAGGTGAGCTACCAGGGAGCCACCTGAGCAACAGTCAAATCCAGGATAGTCAAGAAGTAATCAGTACGTGGTCAGAAGCCACCTGCCAATGCAGGAGGCACACGTTCAACCTCTGGGTTGGGAAGATCTCCTGGAGGGGAACATGGCAACCCACTGCAGTATTCTTGCCTGGAGAATTCCATGGACAGAGGAGTGTGGTGGGCTATAGTCCATAAGGTTGCAAAGAGTTGGACAGGACTGAAGCAACTCAGCATGCATGCACCCAATCAGTATGTCCTCCAAAGCGGACCCCCGCCTTCACTGGCGACACGAGGAACTTCCCAACCTGGGATCAAACCCGTGCCCCCTGCAGTCAAAGCACAGAGTCTTAACCACTGTACCACTGAGGAATCCCCCAAAGCTGACTTTAACTCTGAACTCAACACAGATTTGGGTGTATAGCAATGTATGCAGAGAGCATGGAGGAGACAGAGAAGCCCTCAAAACAAGGAAGACTGAACAGGGGAAGTTCAGAATGAGATAAAATTGAAACCAAATCAGAATCTCAAAAACATAAGCATTTAAGAAAAAAGAGGTCACAAATGAGACAGCAAAGATGAAGGCTGAAGGACAACTGTGTCACAGGAGTCAGAAGAATCAGTTATTAAAAAGCGAGCTGTCAACACTGGCAAGTGCCAAAGAGAGGGTCAGGGAGAGAGAAAGCATCGTGGTCACCACAGTGGTGATCAGAAGAGACCCGAACTCCAACTGCTTTTCCAAGAAGCCTGACAGCAAAGGGAACAAAGCCCAGGAGACATAAGAGCCACGGGGAACTGGGAGTCAAGGAAGTACAATATTTTGCTGGTTTGTTTGTTTTTAAAAGGAAAGACTTAGGTGTACGTGTTCTTATGTTTAAAGGAAGAAGCCAGTGGTTGAAAATGTGACAGAGAAAATACCTGATGGAACAGGGTCTGAGTCATGAGCAATCTCTACCTTAACCATCAAAACCAACAAGCTTGGACACGAGAAGGGCTCTGCCTTCTCAGGGAAGTGTGGACGTGTGCCGACGAACAGGTGTTACAAGAGGGGACAGCACATCCCAGAGGGCATGTATGCCACACTAAGAGTTACACTCTCACCCAGAGGGCAGTCGAGAGCTCCCTGAAAACTGTTAAGGAAGATATGACATCCATGTCCAGGGTGTGGGGAATCACGCCGGGGGTCTGATGTGGCCACTGTGAAACATGAGTGAGCTGAAACACCTACAACTGTGCCACATATCCACCAGGAGGAGGCGTATTCTCCATCCTCCCTCGGATCTCTTCTTCCTGATGTGCTGCTACCCAAAGATGCTTTGTCTGAACATTACTGGTCCCTGGTCGCTCAGAGCACTTAGTTTTCTTTACTGATGCCATTACTATGGGCAACCTTCAACACAATGATTTTGATCTATTTTCTTTTCTCTGATCATGACCAGGAAGAATATATTCACAACTTATTTCAGCATTTTCTAAACTTTCTTCTCCAAACCTTCCTCCAAAATGAATAGGTTGGAAAGATAAAATCTTGTATAATACAAAGGAAGAATTTTTACAGGAGTAAATAAAAACTTTAAAGACCCCCCCCCAAAAAGTCTCACATGTAATACCAAATTTCACATATGAATTCTAGGTCAAATTACTGCCAAAGCTAAAAAAACAGAATTTTAAAATATCTACATCTTTTTCTTTACTAATGCAAGAAAAAAACTACTTCAGAGTTCATGACATTATAAAAGTACTTTCATACAATTGTATAAAACAAACAATAAACTAGAATAAAATATTAAAGTATGTAGGAAACGTATTAAACTGTTATTTGCTTCTCCAAAATTGTACAAAGTGCCAATAATCCATAGCAAGATGACTTTATTATGCATGTCACAGAAAAACGCACCATACAATCTCAAAATAATTAAATGACTTATTCTTGGAGAAACTATCTTAATCAAATGTAAAGTTAAAATAATTCAAATAAATCTACCAGAAGATGACATTTTGCAAAAATATCCTTTAACAGACTTCTACTTCAACTAAAAACTACAGATGATTTAAAGTAGAGTTGAAAGATATTTTTCACACCATCATCGAAATTAACATGAAGAGAACTGCTGATTCCAAATGAGTCTCCTCACTTAATGCTGAACTGGTCTTTGGAATATAGAGAGGTTTCCATCAACCTATTTACCTCTGACTAAAAGAATAACTTTTAAGAAGGAAGGAATCAAATGACACCAAATGTAGCCTCCCAATTCATCCTATCCTCTGCTTTCCCAATGCTCCCCATCCCTTACTCTTAAACAGAAGCACACAGCACACCCTGGGTACCTAAGCACAAGCCAACCTTTTCTCACATCAGGAAAGGTGCAAACCATTCCTATGACCTGCCCTCCCGCTTCCCCATTTGAAAGCAAGCCAAGAGTAGTGTTGGAGAAGACTCTTCAGAGTCCCTTGGACTTCTAGCAGATCAAACCGGTCAATCCTAAAGAAAATCAACCCTGAATATCCATTGGAAGGATTGATGTTGATGCTTAAGCTCCAATACTTTGGCCACCTGATGCAAAGAGCCAACTCACTGGAAAAGATCCTGATGCTGGGAAAAACTGAAGGCAAAAAGAAGGGGGTGGCAGAAGATGAGATGGTTAAAGAGCATCACCCAACAATGGACATGAATCTGAGCAAATCCCGGGAGACAGCGCCGGACAGTGGAGCCTGCTGTGCTACAGTAGAGTCCATGGGGTCAGAGGGTCGAACAGCACTCTGCGACTGAACAACTCCTACTGAACAAGTGGGGAGGAAGGAAGAAGAGCCTTCTTTCCTCATACTTGTTTTGCCTCTGTTACAGAATCTACGTTCCTCTTCCGTATGGGAGTTCAAGCACTAAGAAAAAACACGTTTTACTCCTTAAACTACAAACTTAACTGTGGGTCTTCTCTCCACCTTGCTCAGGACTGAATCCCCAAATACAAGCTGATGTTTGTTGAATAAATTGTTGAATACTCTTCATCAAATATAGAGATGGTACAAAGCTTTCAATAGTGTTTGCTAAGTAAATGGACCAGTTGAATATGTGTCCCTATAAGCTTTTCCATGAAATCTTTTTTTAAAAAGTCAACTAATGTCCAAACTTCAATAGACTTTGTTAATTACTTTCATCCATAACACAAGAATCTGTTCTGTTATCATAGCTAGTAATTCTTCAATACCTAAAGTAAACATCTGGCAAGTCTTTGGGTCGGGGTTTCGGTTGTTGCTTTAACTTGCCTCTTTGCTATTATTAGCCTCTTACTACTGAGACCGTAAAGACTCCAAGGAAGATTTCGTCGGTAAAAAAATTCACCTGCAATTTAGCAGACTTAAAGAGACTCAGATTCGACCCCTGGGTAGGGAAGATCCCCTGGAGAAGGAAATGACAACCCACGCCAGTATTCCTGCCTAGAGAATCCCACGGACAGACGAGCCTGGCGGGCTACAGTCCATGGAGTCAGCAAAGAGACGGAGACGACTGAGCCAGTAAGCATGTCATTGAAACACACCGATTTCTCCAAGAAGGAACTGTCCAACTCTGTGAATACTTCTTGATCTAAAACTAGTTTTAACGGCGTCCAAATCCCTCATGGCAACACACACAGATTAACAGGAGAAAACTTCCTCTGTAAAATCAGCCTCCCCCAAAATAAGTGCAAAACACTTAAATTCTCAGAAAAACTACCTACCATAAAGGTTTACATTAAATTCTTCCGTTCTCAGACAACAGCTACAGAGTTAGGTATTACCTGAATTTTGGTATTCATTATTCCCCTAGGTGTTTTATTTCCCCCTTTCAGCGAAAACTATGTAAACTCACGTTACGCCCATAAACTTGCTCCAGTAAAATGCACTTAAGAAGCCTCTCTGAATATTTCGTGGAGTCGTCTTAAAACCGAATCCTCACCTAACACGCGGCTCACTGACATTTCCATTCAAAGAAATTCGCAAATACACTGAAGAGCTTGCAAAATACAGGCTTTATACAACACTCCTCTCATAGCGACAGAATACAACCTCTTAAAGCTCCTAGAACTATTTAAAACGTGTCCTACGGAAACCAAGGTTTTCTTTCGCACTCCATTTCTTTCTGTTTGATTCTCTAAAGCACTGGAGCGGCCTCAGTCCCAAGCCCGTGTGTTCGTGGGGGCCCCGAAGGACGAGTCACGGGCTCCTCAAGCTCAAGCGCCCGCAGCATCCCCAGTAAGAACCGCCCGAGTATCTCCCACGGCCCCCGGTCCCCGCGCAGGTGTCGCCCGGCGCGGAGGACGTCCAGCCGCCTCCGGCCCGCTGACGCAAAGCCCGGCCCGCGCCCGCGCCAGGCCGACAACCGCCCTGCCTGCCCCGCGTCCCCAGACCGCCGCCCACGCCCGGACCCCGCCCCGGCCCGCGGGCCAAGGACGAGGCCGCCACCGCAGCGAGGCGCCCGCGGGCCGCAAGATGGCGGCGGGAGGGGCGCGCGCGCCCGCGCGGGCGGGGCCGAACCGGGCCCGGCGCGGGTGGCGGGGGAGGGGGCCCACCAGGCACGGCCGCCACCCCCCCACCCCGTCGCTCCCGCAGGCCACCCCTGCCCACCTTTGAATTTGAGGTCTGTGGGCGGGTCGAGGACCAGGATCTGCTCGTGCTTCGCCATGGTCCCGGAGGCGGACGCCATCGGAGACAGCGCAGAGCGGGGGCGCGCCCGCGGCGGGGTCGCTGGCTGCGGGCGGGGGGCGGCGGCGGCGGCGGCGGCGGCGGCGCGGGTCGGCCCGGCTAGACGCGGGGCCAGCGCTCGGCTCCCGAACCCGACACCCGCCGCTCTGTTGGCGACTCGCTGGACCGCTCGCCGGTCCGCAGCTCCGGGTCTCACAACTGACTCAACCCCACACCAGCCGCCGCGGCCACGCGCACTGCGATCCTCGGCGCCCCACGTGATGCCTCTGCGTGCCTACGTGCGCGCCCCGGAGGCCGCGAGGCCTCGCGCCCGGCCCGCCCTCCACGCCGCCAGGCGCGACCTGCTGCTGCGCCTGCGCGCCCCTGGCCCGCCGCGCTCTGAGCCTTGCCCAGCTGTCAAGGGAGCGGGCGTGGACGGGGTGGAGCTTAGCTTCCTGGCACTGACGCGGCGCGCACCGCAGAGCGGGAGGGCGCAGTCCTCGGTCACGTTTAGCTGCAGTTATGAGACTGGAGTGGAAAACCCGCTATGGCATCCCATCGCCATCTCCCAAGCGGGAATGCCAAATAGCAAGAGTGAACAGATACTTGGACTACAACTCCCAGCATGCTCCGCGCGGGGCGGGGTCTCCAGCCGGACCGGTCCTCCTGCGGCGCTGCGTGGCGCTTGCTGGGAGTTGTAGTAGCGGCTGAGCGCGGGCGGGAAGAAGGGTCGGTTGGAGGCTGGGGTGAGGTTTGCCAACACTCATTTTGGTTCCCAAAGGATGTCTCATATGCCCTGGAAAAAAGAAAAACAACTTTTGGAGACTGCCCTGAGGTTCCCCGGTTAGAAGTATAGAAGCTTCCCAGAGGAAAACATGCCAGGATCTGTCAGTGTGCTCCCTCCCTAATTCTATCCATCCCTCCGTCGGTACAGCTGTGGTTCTCCAGTCCAGGCTCTCTGGCTTCCCGAATTCTCTTCTGGGATGCAAAAGCCCTTGAGGAAACACACCTCCTCTAACGAGCAGACGCGTCGTTGGGGACCTGATGAGGCACGCGTTATCAAACTGGAAATAAAAGTCAGAATCTACAGCGTTTGTTGCTGTCCCTTCCTCAGTTTTGATTGATAACGATGAGCCAAACCAAAACAGTTGTCACGTTCACATGTTGGCAGCGAATTCCATCTGCAGCATTTAAGGTAGCCTGTAGTAAACTGAGCCGAAGGAGAAAAAATGCCAACAGCAGAGTTGCTGACCAGTCTTTAACGGATCGCCAGGGTAGTCGAGGACAGGAACATGAACCAAACGAGTGTGCTGTGAATCAACCGTCATGGTGCTGCTCGAATTCAAATCCCTGGGAAGCACCGCGAAACAACGCTCAAATTGATGCTGCCGCGGTGGAGGAGGAGCCCAGTTGATCTAAAAAACAAACCAGACAAATGGGACAGTGGCCTAGCCGTGGACCCAGAATCCACGTCCTCACTGCAGTCCAGGCATCGGAGCCCACTTGGGAACAGTTCTCTGGAGTAACTAACCTAGCATGCGCACTAGGCTGTAGGCTGTGCCCAAGGAAAGCAGTGTACCTTCAGCAGAATGCGAGAGCTTAATTTGTTTGAAATGCGTGGGTCCTCAGTCCTGTCGACTCCCTGCGACCCCATGGACTGTAGCCCGCCAAGCCGCTCTGTCCAGGGGATTCTCCAGGCAAGAATACTGGAGTGGGTTCCCATTTCCTTCTCCAGGGGGGTCTTCTGGACCCAGGGATGGAAACTATGTCACCTGCCTTGGCAGGCAGATTTTTTACCACAGAGCCAGTTGTTTGAAAAGCATCTTCTAAATCTACCTATCCTTTGATTTTCTTCTATTCACAAAATTATTTTGAAATTTCAATTCTCTTTAAAGGAAAATACAGAAAATCTGTTCAAGAGGCTTTAAGATTTAAAAACAAAATAGTTGAGGTTGACAATCTCCCCATGGTATGTGGTCCCATATATGTTTAGTCGTGAACTGACGACCCTTAAGCTCTCACAAAGTCAAGCTCCCTTTCAGCTTGCTGCAGAACTCAAATCCATGGGTAAGTTAGCCTGGCCGACTGGCCCCTCCATGACTAGGTGAACAATTGTCTCCCAGCAAGCTGACTGGGAACCCCAGGTAGCAGACCCAGCAGGCTGAGGGCTTTGCCAGTTTCCCTGCTGTGGGGCAGGTTGGCAAATTCACTGGGAGTTCAGGAGGAAGCCGGAAATGGCTATATTCCAGTTTCCACATCTGTATCATTCAGAAACCTCTGCCTATTTCAGTCATCGCCTCTGCAATCAACTGATTTTCTCTTTGCAGTATAGCTTCAAAAATGGAATAGAGTCTAAACCCATAAGAATCTACATATCTGGTAGTCTAAGAATACATGGAACTTCTTTGGAAGAATTCTTCTATTACTATTTTAGAGTACCGCACTGTGAATGACGCAGAGTCCCCCTGAATCACCTACCCCTCATTCAACAGTGCACTGTTTAAGTGCTTTGTTTTTTTTTTTAATTTTTTTTGCCACATAGTGTGTGGGATCTTAGTTCCCTGACCAGAGATTGAACCACACCGCCTGCACTGGAAGCACACAGTCTTAACCACTGGACCACCAGAGAAGTCTTGTTTGTGCTTTGGTGTATTTTAATACCTTTCTTCTTACACTTCGAAGAACTTTACAAACATCATACGCTACTCAGAACAACCTCATAACAGTTTGCAAGTGTTACTTTTGTTGTTAAATATGGAAATGAAAACATAGGTGAGAGCATCTCATGTCAGTTAATAGACCTAAACTGGAAGGGAGGAATTGCCCAGTTTTCTCTTCTGTGCATTTTCGGTCTTCCCAAAGCCACAATAAAATGACATTCGAAAGTGATTAAGGCAACAACTGTTTTAAGTGTAATCGACTTCTATTGTTTCTATATTGACACACAGCTTCCCAAAGATCCCTTAAGGTAATAACCAAAAATATACTCAAACATATTCTTTAACTCCCAAGTTTTCAGGTGTCCAAGAGGTACAAAGTCCTCGAATATTACTTCAACCCACTTGAATCATGAGTAATACTCACCTTTGTACAGATTATCTCTTAGGAGTTGGGCAAGAATTTTAAAAAAAACACCACCACCAATTTCCAGTACAAATGATAACAAAGTACAATTGTCTTCTCCATCTTTAAATATGTTAACCTTTACTATAGAGATGCTCTATAATTATGAATTTATGGACAATTCTCTGCATAATTTATTTCAGTAAACATTTAAATGAGCATATCTTCAACAGATACTGAGGCAGTAAAATGTATAGAGTACAGGCTGGGGTCAAGTACCATTGTCTGCTGTGTGGTCGTAGCAACTGACTTCACCTCTCTGTGCCTGTTCTACATTTGTAAGTTGGAAAGAATAACAAAAGCTCTATCCGAGGTTTGTCGTGAGAATCATGAGTTAATACTTTATCAATGTTAAATTATTGCCTTGCCCAGCACGTGGTGGGTATTCAGGAGTGAGCCAGTAGACATGGCCTCTGCCCTTCCATCTGAAGAGGAGAGACAAGCGTGAAATAGCTCCTTTGCAGCTAGCATTCTGGTCTTGGCATCAGTTTGACCAGTCAGTTAGGCTCCTGGGATATCTGGAAGTGAGATGGAGGCGAACTCTCCGCCCCTGTTCTCTGGGGAGGCAGTGGGGAGCCTTGATGCTTTCTGCAGCGGTGCTCCAGTGCCCAGACTCTGGCTCTCTGGTCTCCAGAGGCAGCCAGTGGTGCAGGGTCAGCAGAGGCAGCGGCTCCTGCCTGACTTCCCAGTCCAGCCCGGCGTCAGAGGTCGGACCTGCAGCCTCGTAGGCGGTCGCTGCCCTGGAGAGCCTGCCCCGCCCCCACTTTGTGCAAGCACCTAATTGCGCTGTTTCCTGCCTGTGATAATAGTAGAGGCTGCGGAGAGGGAGGTGTCGGGGAAGCCAGGAGTAGACCAAGAAAGGTGAGAAGTGTAGAAATCTGCTGAGTGGTCTTATGAGGCAAAGACCGGGAACCATCCACCTAAGGGTGTAAAACGGGGTGCTGGGGTAAAACGGAAGTGGAACACAGTCACTGCGCACGAGGGACTCTTGCTAAAACACTCGGGTATGATGGAGAGTGAGAACCACCTCAAACAAGTAGTAGGTCAGGAAGCACCCCAGGGAAGCAATGCTGAAAGTGTGGGTGTGTTGGGGGTACTCCTTGTAGCCTATTTTTCAAACTTCTGTGAGAAATAGAGTTTCCAAGAGAAGAAAGGAGGAAGCTTCACCAGATAAAATCAACGCTGGAAGAAGAGTTAGAAAAAAAGAATGTATCCCAGGATACATTTCAGTCACTCAGCCGTGTCCAACTCTTTGGGACCTCATGGACTATAGTCCGCCAGGCTCTTCTGTCCATGGGATTCTCCAGCAAGAACATTGGAGTGGGTTGCCATTTCTTCCTCCAGGGGTCTTCCTGACCCAGGGATCAAACCTGCATCTCCTGCATTGGCAGGCAGATTCTTTACCGCTGTGCCACCTGGGAAGCCCCTTGTATGACTATGGAAAGCAGTTAAAACTATAAGGAATAATCTTTATGAGAAACAATTTGAAAACTGTTTTCTCAATCTTCTGTTCTATAAAAGCAACATGTGATTATTGTAACAAGTGACACAATCCAAGAAGCACATGAATAAGAAGCTTCCTCTTGAATCTCTCAATTGTCACTCGACTTCAGGTGACCCATGTAACTGTCTGGGTTGTGTGGCACTCCCCAAATTTATCCAGACTTAGAAAAATATGGCTAGTTTGTTTGGGGATTTTTAAATAAGAATTCTTATAAAATATATAAAAACATATCCAGTTGCTTTATTCACCTGACAGTTTAGTATGGATATCTAATCAGGTCAATTGGCAAAGATCTAACTCAGTCTTTTAATAGCTGAATCCACAGAATAGATGACCCTACTGTGGTACCACTTGTTCTTATTGATGAACATGTA